AGGTTTACCCCTACTTTCTCCATTTTTTCCTAACTTTAGCCATACAACTTGGTAACGGGAACATTTGGCCAAGCCTTCCTATCCCTGTCATTATTCCTCTCTTGAGAACACATCCTATTTGTTAACACCAGACTGTCTTTCCTAAAGCATCACACTTTCCTATCAACACTTGTATTCTAAAGCCTGAAGTACTCTCTATAGCCAAGGCTCCTCTTTAGATAGCATTCTGGTGGCTCTCCCAGTGATGTTCTGAGAAGCAAAGAACCACTGCAAAGTCCTTAGCGTGGAAGGCAAAGGATCAGAGTTAGACTCCTGTTGGCAGTGGTTAACACATAACCTTGGGTGACACCCTCTCTCCCTCTCAGCAGATTTCCTCTCCACTCCAAGCACTAGTGTGACCTTTAACACAGTCTTTTGTTAGATGGCTTTAAGAACTAGATGCCACCATCTCTGCAGAAAGCTCAGCTCTTTGTCACTGCTCAACAAATGCAGACTATTAGCATAAGTTTCTTTAGATGCAATAGGTGGATCCTCTCTTCCCTGCATTTACTTGAGTGTAGGTTCCCCGCAGTTTTGCCCACTGTACAGGCATCTAGAACACAGCCTCTCTGCTACAAAGCTACATGTTCTCTGGGGATCTCAAGAGCATGGAAAGAATTAACACAAAACCTATAGTGACTTGACTCCAACTCTATCCATCCTGTTTTCTTGTTGCCCATGAAGCTGAGGCTCCTGTGCCTCTGATGAGAATAGCTACTGAGGGCAAGGGTTTTGTAAGAGTACAATAAGTAGATTCATCTTCTACACTAACATTTTTGATAAACACAACTCAACAAATCACACATGTTAGTAGTGACAAACCAGCAATGCATAGTGGGGACTTTCAAATTAAAGAAAACTTCTGATGTTAATTTATAGGGGTGACTAAATCTTCAAAATATCTTTGAAGTAATAGCTCTTTAATTCCCATTTCTTAGCAGATAACAGCAGAATTAACCATTTGGAATCCCTATCTAATCCAGACACACATCTTGAGGACTTGGCTTAATAGTTGAGATGGTTTGGCTTGAAACAATCATCACATTATACTCACTAGTTTAGATCTGAGTCCTGCTAATTGCTCTTTCTCTGGAGGCCCCAAACTGAAATGATTGGATGTGATAATATATATAAACCAAGAATTGAAGTATAGAATACAGTAAATACATAGTAAATGTGATGATTCCAAGTAGGAGATAGTATCAGGAATATGTCCTGAGACCTGGACAATCACTGGGGATATGACAAAGGATGGCAGACAGAGGCCATTCATCCCTCCATGTGGTACTCAGGGATTGTACCTTCTGACCTAAGTAGTCAGAATTTCATATAGAACTATTTCTTTCTGTGAAAAACCTAACAGTCTCAAGTCACTGTTTGGAATGTCTTAAACCCCTCCTCATCTGGAAAGCCAAGACCAATGGAAGCTGCTGATACTCTGCTGTAACTGAGACTATGGTGATAATGTATGCATTTCTGTTAGAGGAGCACCTTACAGAACTACAAGGAGTCACTGAAGAAAAGCAAGTAGTAAACCAGCATAAAGAATGCTTTTCTTAAGGCAGTGGTGGCACACACCTTTAATCCCATCACTCGGGAGGCAGAAGAAGGCTGATCTCTGTGAGTTCAAGACCAGCCTGATCTACAGAGTGAGTTCCAAGACAGCCATGGAAGTTACACAGAACCCCCTCCCCCAAAAGAGAGTGTGTCTCTTTCTTAACTTTTTAGATCATTCCCATACTTCATCCAAACAGTTTGCATTCAAGACCTAAGCCACAATGACAATTAAAATAGGTGTTTTCAGGGATTGCATGGGAGTATCAGAAAACTGCACACACTGGAAAGTACTCCTTGAACACAACACTTACAAGGGACCATCCCAGCTCTCTCCACCCTATGAGTCAACATATTTCAATCCAACAATATGTCAAGATTAGCCTGGATCTGATTGACTATTGATTGCTCTGGCAAGACAACTCATCATGCTTGTGGAGAATCCAAATTCTCCCAAATAGATGGTGACTGAAACAGTCAAGGCACCTAGATCTTCAACACAGTGCTGTGAAGAGAATGCTCCATTTCTACCTTCAAATACAATAGACAGCTATAGCACACTTATGTTCTCATGAACAACAGGCTTTGCTGGCTCTGCTAACATGATGCGTGTCTTGAAAATGGCAATATGCTACTATTGGAAAGAGCCTTTCTTTCATCCTCTTTCTTTTTTGTTCCTTTGCTAAGGGGGTAGCCGTTTCCCCTCAAACTCTACCACTGGCGCCCTTCACCTGAAGAGCCACTTAAATGGCCGAGGGTTAGAAACATGATGGTTGGGATGGAGCAAGAGAGTGGGATGCTCCAGCTAGTAACCAGAAACTCCACAGCTTCCAGTGGGTTAGATATGAGTTGACTCATGGAAGAATGATAGCGGGTTGGAGGGATGATGGGGTGATCATACAGGATCTGTCACTGCTGCCACCAAAGTAGCCACGGAACCTTCAAGAGGTACTGTCTGCCCACACTCACAGTGCACTCTTGCTGAAGGTGTAAGCATGTAAAGTCTATTTAACGATGCCGGAGAAAATAAAGGTGGGGGCAGAAGAGATGACTTAATGGTTAATAGCACTTGCTGCTTCTGCAACTCAGCTCCCAGCACCCATATTGGGCAGCTCACAACTGCCCATAACCCTAGATCTAGAGCGCTCTGATGCCATTTCTGAACTCCATGGCAACTGCATTCATTTGGTTCACATAGATAGACACACACCCATTCGAGCACACACACACACACACACACACACACACACACACACACACACAAACACTAGAACTTTCCAAAAGTGACCAAAGCTTACGCTTCTCTGGGAGAGAAAAGATTTAGTGATGAAATTTCTGTTAGCCAATGAAAACCTTAAAGACCGATCATCTGCAGTGGCGCTGGAGAACTTGATGGAAACACAAGGGTCTACTGAAGAATTCAAAATTCCTGGAGTCATAGAAATGGTCTAGATGTGCCCTGACTCTGTAAGCAGTTGAACTATGACTAACGTGACAAAGAAACTGAATTTTAAAATTCCAGTTGTGGGTAAATTTAAATGTAAATAGTCATATGGAGCTATCACTGTGAAAAAGGCAACTTTGCTAAACATTTATCAGTAATATTCATAGAGGCTCCATGTCCCCCAGCAACTGTGGGGCTGATACTCATATGGCTATGCGACCATAAGGCCATTGCAACCATTAACAAATCCACCATGGACAACTTGTAAATCTATCAGGCTTACTCTGCTCTATTTGTGTACCAACTCATGTTTCCCATGGCCGCAGAGTGAAAAACAATGAACCAATTGAAAGAGAAAGTCAGTCCCCTCTCTGTTTTGTTCTCAGTGAGCCTATCTCTATTTTATGGCACCTGCAAGCCACAGGAAAGGCTGGAATAGAGAACGAAAAAGATAAACAATACACCCAAACCAACTGGGCGCATTTGATGGAGAGCAAAGATGTGACCTTTACTTTCCATGACAGTCAAAACAGGGGCTCTGGAGTCAACAATCAGATGAAGTGGAAAGCTGCTAAATTTCGAGATGTGTTTTGCCAGCGCAGTAGAATGCAACTACGGGACCCAATAATTCTGAAGCTTCAAGAGCCCTTAAACGTTATCCACTTCAGACTGTTCTACGAATATAAGCAATTTGAAACTCAGGGTAAAAAAAAAAAAAAAAAAAAAAAAAAAAAATGAAGCACTCAGTGTCCCCGAGATAATAGCCACTCTTGGTCTGAGCTCCTTATTCTGGGCTCCTCCTCCCAACTGTCTCTGCCTCTGCTGAGCTCAGGCGCATCTTTGAGGAGATAAGGAGGCTTGAGGCCACCTCACTTGCCCCAACCTGTGGTGAGCAGAAGAATAAAGAATGGTTTAACCATGAGAGTTCCATTCAACAATAAGTTGCCTGCGCTAATGTCCAGACACAAAGACCATGCGATTCTCTGCTTATCAAACCCTCAAAGAAAGAAAGTTACTCTTTTAAAAGATGATTTACCATCTTCTTTTTGAGGATGCCACACCTTTTGTTAAAGAAGTGGCTTAAGCTCTATTCAAAAGCTGCAAGGAGACAATTGCAAGTGTCAGGCAAATGGCATCTCCTGTTGCTTTGTTTTTGATGACTCAATGGGACAGGAGAAAGATGTGAAGGTGAAAGGCGGTGATTATCTTGAGAAAAATCTTAGGGCTAAAACATAGATGTCAGTTAAGTCCAAACCTCTAGCAAGTGGAGAAACTTGATGCAACAGGCCGTGTCCCAGCCAGCAGGAAGCAAGGTTTGTCTATCCAGTTCAGAACTTTCACAAAACTCATGTCTCCACACCCGAAATAGGGGAAGGAAAAGGACTAATGTCTCTGTGTTGTATGTGGCACAGTTTTGTAAATCCTATTTTTTACCTGCCCCTCCCTTCCTGTTTGACAGTATGTGGGGCTATCTTCAAACTTGCTCTCCAGAGTGCTGGGATCACAGGCTAGCTTTGCAGGAAGCATCTATCTGTTTACTTACTTAGGATTTATTCATTTGCAGTAATTAGTGTGTGCTATCTATCCAAGTCCTTCACCACTGAGCTACACTCCCAGCCCAGTGCCTGCTGTTTTTAGCTGAAGGCTATTTTTGAAAAAAATTCCCCAACATTTTATATGTAATTTCATGGAATGCTAATAGAAGGAAGAAAATCATGATTTAAAAAAACAAAACAAAAAAACAAAACTAGAAATAAGTTCTCTTTACTACCTGGAGTTTACTCATTTCCCTGGTCCTCATGCAGTCCTTCACTGATATGTGTCACCCCACTGCTGCAAGGACAGAAAGACAGCCAGCACTGCATATACTAAATGCATACACTTTGAAATGCATGCTCCGCTCTTATAAACCAATCCCTGATAGAAAAAGAAAGTACCAAGCGAACTCCAATATGGAACTTACATTCTGGTGCTGCTAGTCTTGTTTATGATGACAGATTTTCCAGTTTGATCCACGTTGTGGTCCAATCCGAAGTAGGCTGCCACCCGATGGACCAGCATCCTCTGGTAGGATGACATCTGGGGGAACTTTTTATAGTGGTTACTGGAACAGAATTACAGGCTGACTGAAACCGGCATCTTCACTTTACGTGTATAGTACATTTTACAGGCATTTACACACCACTGTCTCCTTTTATTCAGAGACTCTTGCCACTTTTCATTCCGACATCACCTGATGCCCCCTTTCACAGACAAATTTCTACTCTCATAGATTTATTGATCAAGCTGCTCCAGGCTTGCCGTTTCACAGCTGCGCATTCATCTTGTCTGTTGCAAAGTGTTCTGGCTTAGTTCATGATACCTTATCAACAGAGGCAGGCAGAGGACACACTACATGACATAATAGAGATTGCAGATGTCTATCGGGAGATGTGTCGTTACCCAGTTTACACCAAACACAGCACAATTATTTCCAGGCATAACTGACTGCAGCCAGCTGGAGCCCATTAAAAAACTATAATAAAAATGAAAAGGGTTGCTTCTTGCTGTAGCTCCTCTGTGCTAATCAATGTCCCTCTGTTTATGGCCATTTTGTCACAAATTTAACAGGCAGGAACACACATGATTCGAGCCATGACCATTCCAAAATCCAGTGACCTCTGCATTCAACATACCAAGAACCACACAAATTGATGTTGTATCTCTCCACAGCTCTCTCTGGCATGAATCATTAACTCAGATACTGAACTAAGACATGTCATCAAATTAGCTAGCATATTGCCATTGAACATACTTGCTGTCACCAATGAAATCAATCATTTCCTGCTCCATTTTCAAGAGTATCATCCTGTCCCTGGAAAATAAATGTTCAAAGGGAAGTTTTCATGTACTTTTCAGTTTCCAAAGGTCAAATACAGTTTATCAAATGCAAGGGGAAGAAAAAAAGAAAGAAAAGACCTATGTTTAACTCATCCTCAGGCTATGTTGACTCCTTGGTTTGCAAACCATGACTTTGAACTTAGGGTTTTGTTTTAATCTTACTTGTTAAGTGTTTGGTGCTGGTAAATGTTATCATTTTAAAGCTTATTAAGACATGAAATTTTTGAATAATAAATTACAACTGATACAAAGTTAAAGTCAAAAAAACTAAAATGAAGCAAAGCTGGAGTATTGAATAAACACACATATGTACCTGCACCGAGGCATAATTGATTAATGGAATACTGATCATCTTCATTCTCTCCTTTTTCCTTCAATCATTCCTTGGGTTTAGGGAAGTAGAGCTAGCACACTCTAACCTAAGCAGTGGGTAACTAAGTAAATATTAGGGTTAGCCACCCACTGGGGGGGGGAGATCGGGGGCTATTAGGGAAGGCCATCTGTGTTTTATGGTTGATTTCTCACAGCCATTTTGATTAATCACATTGTAATAGTCTATCTGAACCTCCCACAGCCAAACAAGGGGCCTGTGTCACCATTTACCTGGAATTGTTCTTCAGCGTGTTAATCAGGAACTCATGTAAGTCTATGCCTGTAGAATCCGTGTACTCTTGGCTGCAGTCTGAAACAAAGAGCAGGATGAGGGCGACTTGTCAGAACTGATGATGCAAATACAGGGTTGGGAAAGCGTTTGCAACCTCTCTGGTTTTCTTTGTACTCAGGTAAATTTTAAAGGAAGCGCTGGGTGTGAAAACACTTGCTACCTAGCAGGAAGACTTCAGGGTGGAAATGAGATGGACGGTTGAGATGCTCTTGACTGTGGGAAGGGCATGGCATCAGAGGAAAGGAAGTGTGCACACTGCTGGTGGTGGACGGAGTGTCAAACTCCATGTGTTCTCACTATGCTCTAAACCAGAGGGGCACTGTGTCCACGTGACAGGTACATCCAACCCACAGAGACCTCAAGAGCTTGCGATCCCAGGTCAACCTTTTCTATTAAAACAGAGCAGTTAAATAAATAAATAAATAAATGAGGCTTCTGTTCTAAACTATTTAAATATTAATCAGTACCAAACGTGGCAGGGGATAAATATTTTCAAGCTGGATAAATTCGGGTTTATGCAACCGTTTTGGAAATGGGATTTGTTTGCAGGTCATACCATTAAGAACAGCTGCCATTCCTAGGCTGGTGGGACTCTTTGTTACAGCTTGATTTTGTGCAATTAGAAGTATGTCAGCAGTCTGAAAGTTCTAGGCTGTAGGCCTGTGGTTTTAGGAGGAATGGCTCTTTTCCACATAGAAATATGATGTTTTGTTTTTCAAATGAAACAACACGAGACGGTGTATGGATGAAGAGAGCAAAATCCTCTGCACCAGAAAGCCTACTGATGTAGACACCCAGGTGTGGCTTACTTACAATGGAAAGGTGCTGGGGCCCTTGCTGTGTCTCTTTTGAGAAAGAGAGTGAAAATACAAAGCTGTGTGTATCGCCCTTGTTAGCTCATCCAAGTCAGTTGTCAATGAACCTGAGTGCAAGAGCAGATTTGAATTCGCTCTTTTGCCTCAGCTTGTCATGGAGAACAGGAGATTCAAAAGTGAGCTCAAAGAAAGAAGTGATTCTAAAAATAACCTGTCTAGCAATACAACAGAAAGAAAGTGAGGGCTGCTTTTTTTCCCCCATTTCTTTTTCTTCTTTTCTTTCTTTTTTTACATACAGGAACCCTTGGAAAAATAGGTGCCAAGACTTGTTCTGCTTCCAATGTCTCCTGGCCATGCGCATGCTCCAATTAAGCAAGGTAAAGAAACAGTTTTCAAATTCACCTTTTGATAGCATTCTGATCTTGGGTTTCTCAGAGGGCTTATCTCTGTTTTTATCCTTATCTTTTTCTTTCTCAGAATCATCCTTCCTAGATTTAGCCTCCTCTTGCAGGCTGGGGAAACTGGAAAGCTGTAAATGAATTGATTCCTGTTGGGGAGAAAATATAATAATTTAGGGCCAGACGTAATTACCTTTGCCTGGCTTCTGTTTTGCACAGAGGTTAGCAGGTATTGAGAAATGAGAGCCAGGTATGGATTGCTGTTTCTTATGTGGTTAAAAACAATTAAGCCTGACAGATTAAAAAGAACACTTGCCCTTTAAGATGAACTGAAATCAGGAGTCAGTGGGAGGTCAGAAGTCACATCTAGCATTAAACTTTACCTCATGAATATTAACTTTAATCAAGCTATACTCCTGTAGATCACAACTCTTATTTTTCTCTACAGGTTTATTTTTAAATGTGTAAGGGGAAAAATTCCTTTATCTACTCACATTGGAGCCACTGTCATATCTAAAAAAGACGTTTCCAATTCCCTTGCCGAGTTCCTTATAAGGAGGTATATGCACACGGACAAACAGGTTCCAGGAGTCATAATTACATTTAGAACCAAGAGAAAGACAGCACAGCACCCGACCGCAATGTATGGTAGAGAAGCTATGGTGGAGCTAGGTCAAGAATCAGGATGCCCATGCCATGGAAACTGAACCCTGCAGCTCTGAGAATCCTAGCTCTGGGATCATGGGGATTGCTTATGAATGTCATTAATACTTCATTGTAATTCAGAGTCACAAAAAGAATTGTCTTTTAGAAAATGTGGTGGCTGAGTCTTGCCATGTTTTCATAAGTTACCTATAAATCTATGTTTGGGTCAATTTAGTTGCAGTTAATTATTTTCCAAACAGATTCTCTTAAGCAGCTGCTTGGTATGGACTACAGGGTTGAGCTGGTTCTACTTTTGTATTTATTTTTCTTTCTTTCTTTCTTTTTCCTTTCTTTCTTCTTTTCTTTCTTTCTTTCTTTCTTTCTTTCTTTCTTTCTTTCTTTCTTTCTGGAAACCGATCAGCTTGTATTGATTGACATGCAGTAGCCATTACTTTGATTGCATGTTTGCTTATTTGAAGCAGAATGTGCCAAATGATGTTTTGCTGGGGTTTTTAGTTTCTGCAAAGTGTATGCTGACTAGCGTTGTAATGAATTAGGGAGGGTGAGGCTCGATTGTGTATATGTGACCGATCACTCGCCGGTACTGCTTCTTGATGTGGGGCAAGGGTAGGTGATGTTTCCAGTGAGGAAGAGTGTTTCTCATAGAAAACTCCCTGCAGGCTCACCTGACCTGTGACATTGGCCTTTAACTGTGCCAAGGTTGGGATTCACAATGGAGTGAATGGGGCTAAACAAATCTGGCTAATTGGATAAGCAGAAGGGAGCACTTGTAAAGGTAAGCTGTATGCTTCAGAAGGGACTGCATTCCAAATGACAGCTGCAGGGAAGTCACCATGGTGGTGAGAGGAAAACACAAAAGTAAAAAGATCTCTAGTCCCCACAACACTGAAGATAAAACAAAACATGCCGCCATCACACATTTTTAACTAAGCTTGGTTTCTGACTCCCAGGAGTTTCTTCTGTGGGTGGATATATACAGGATATGTAAAGCAGAGTGAAAGTCTACTGTAGTCATTCTTTACATGATTAGGGACAGAACTGTCACAATCAATGAGGGTTCAAGTCAGACCTAGGGTTTTGATTTTCCTTTCACTTTCTGAGGAAATCCCTGGGACATTTGCTGCTGAGATGCTTCTCAGGGTGGGATGAGGGAGAGTCAGTCCATCAGTAGACTCTGGGAGAAGCTGTGATCACGTGAGACACAAGAGAAACGATCCCATTCCTTCTTCAGAAATGTTGGACCCATCCAACCCTCTCTAAGCTGGAATCTAAAAAATCGCCATGTTGGTAATATATTCTACACATAAAAACAGAGGCCAAAGACATCCACTATAGAAAAATGTACAAATCGATGCTTTGTGTTGACAAATGCTACACTGAGGATTAAAAAAAAATATTTTTTCTACACATAAATATACAATATGGTGTAGAAAGAACACGCAAAAAGTGCTATAGAGTTGGTAAAAAACAATCTGTTATTTTTTAATATTTTTATTGATATGCTCAATATTAAAATACAGGTGTTAATAAATACATTGGTACAGGATAAGTTCATATCCAACAACAATAAAAGAGTGATTCAAGTTGCAGTAACACACTGGTCAGTAAATAATATAACATTAGAAAAGCACGCTTCCTGTAACTCAAAGACAGACTGAACCATCCATCAGGTGTGGGTCTGAGATCAAGTAATACAGGGAACAAGAGTTTTCCCCACACAAGAAAATGAAGGCAGTTTCCCAAATACTGTGAATATACAAACATGGGGGGGGGGAGTGATACAGTCCATGTATTGTATACTTCTCTCGGAGTCAGTCCACACATTTTCTAAGTGTCCAGTGAAGGCATTGCATATGAACTCTAAGAAGATGGGACTACTTGTTTATACATGTGTCTGTTGGTTTTCTACTAACCCTCTATCCCCACCATTCTTTGGCTAACCAACAGAAAGCTTGGGGACCCTAATTCTCTCCTCCAACACTAGTCCTGTTTTCTGGGTTCAGAATCAGCAGGAACAAAGCACCGTTTGCACCCACTGTGTGGAAGTACCTAGACCTGCCTCTGGAATGGGTGCTATGATACAGGTGACCCTTACCAAAACTCCTCCTGGTTTTTGTCAAAGGAGACAAAGAGCAGTTGAAGTATACAGAGGCTGGCCTCCTCTGCCTGGCATTAAGAGCGAGGGACAACTGGGCCATTACTTCTCCCAGAGTCTGCCATTCTACAGGGTTTCACACAAATCATATGCCATACATTAGAAGCCATCAGTCCCCATTGATAGGACAAGGCATGATATTCACATCATTCGACCTTTCCCATCTCCATTAAAAATAGAAGCACACATAAAATGCTGAAGAAAAGCCACACTTTTTTTCAGAGCCCAAGTTACAAAAATAAAAAAAAAAAAAAAAAGGCTGCGTATGAAACACAGTAATGGCTACTAGCTACTGACTGACAGCTTGCTTGTTAAGAAATTGAGACTAGAAAAGAAAACACTCAGAGGACAAAAATCTATAAGGAATTTATTATTATTATTTTGGTTTTGGTTCATTTAAAGAAAGTGCTCTCCACGTTCTCTGTGTCAGTAAGAGAATGCAGAGGATTTCAATTAAAGTGAAAAGGGAGGTTGGGATGAAGAAGCAAGACAAATCTAAATGAAAACTAATGATTTTTGTAATCAATTTTCCCTCCCTTGGGCTCAGGCAGATCATCTGACTTTTGTCTGGACTGCCTTTGGCCTCTGATAAAAGGGGAAAAGGCTAGGAGAGGCTCCGTTTGGCCATGGGGAGTTTTCCTGGACTTCTAAGTTTTGGGTGCCCACTCGTCTTGCAGAAAGGAGCAAAGGTAAGGATGAAGATTTGCAGCAACCGATTAGCATCCAATTCACCCCCAGCTCAGATGCTTTTCTGGACCATTGTTGCAGCATTCACACACAAGGAAAAAAATCTCTCTCACAAAAGCCATAAGGGTATTTCTCCAAAGTTCAGGGTACCTTAACCACTACTATTTCTTAAGTCTCATAGGAGCCAACCGTGGTTTTTGTTTTTACAGGCAGGCGCCTTTGTGAAGGTGAGAGGTAAGTTGTCTCCCTAAAGAGGGTGCTTGGGCTATATTTGGTTCAGCCTTATCAAGAGAGAGCCTTGGTGGACATCCAGCACTATTGTGCTTGCTTATCTTTTTTTAAACAAAAATTAAGTTTTAATCTAAATTCTTTTGAGTTCCTTTCCATTTGCAGTTCTCAGAGAGTCTGAAAAAAGAAAACAAATGCAATATCCTGTGTTATACATTTAAGCTAGTTGTGTATGGAGGTGAGTGGGTGTGTATGTGGGTGAGTATATTTGCATATCTGTGGGAGGCACACCGGGGTGTATGGGTTCATATGCACATGGAATCAGGGGACAACCTCAGGTGTTTCTCCTCCATTGCCATCTACTACCTTTCTTTTCCTCTTTCTTTCTTTCTTTCTTTCTTTCTTTCTTTCTTTCTTTCTTTCTTTCTTTCTTTGGCAGTCTCTCACTGGGACCTAGGGCTTACTGACCAGACCTCAGGCTGTCTTGGCCTTGAACCCCAGGAACCTTCCTTCTTCATGGCTCTACTTCTCCCATGCTGAAAGGACAAACCATGCCCAACTTTTTCAGTGCATTCTGGGGGTTGGACCTTGGCCCAAATGCTTGTGTGGCAAGCAGTTTACCTGGAAGGATATGGGCCCAGCCCCAAACTTGCGACTCTGCAGCATGTCTCAGAAACCGGACATGAAGCAAGAAAAAAAAGCTATCTTTCCCCCTTTCCTGTTTTCTCCCCTAAAGCGTCTTTAGTGTCAAATTCTTGATTGGTCATTCGCACTGAGATCTAGTCATGCAAGCCCTTCTCAAAACAGACTTTATACCTGCTCTTGATGACTGTCCGCTCCAGGTCTAGCTGAAGACTCTTCGCAGACAGCGAGGCTTCGGGTCAGCTTCCCTTTGCCTGCTCCTGACTGGGCAGTGAGGAAGGCGGGTGAGAAACAGAAACCATTCTTAGACTGTCAAATCACGGCGACCACATTTGCATGAGTATTCCCAAAGCAGATTTCTCAGGCCAGGATCTAAAGGGCCCAGTGATTATGTGGGCAAAGGGCAAAGAAAGGATCAGAAAGCCCAGGCCAGAGGGGAAAACACAAACTTATGTAATGGTTTTTCACTATCTTCACCCATGTGCATGATGGGGGAATGGATGCCATTTCATGAAATCATCGGAAGAATCCCTCCACAGTGAATCTCCATTAAAACTAAATTAGAAGGGTCCACTGAGGAGGTGCCCCATGCACTGAGTGACGCGGTCCAGTTATTTCTAGGTAGAAATCACTTCTAAGATCAAAATCCCTACCCTAAATTTTATCCAAAAGCAAACAAACTAGCAAAAACTCCTGGGGATGTGAATTGTGTGAAGCATCACTGCAGCCTTCACTGGAGAGAGAGAGAGAGAGAGAGAGAGAGAGAGAGAGAGAGAGAGAGAGAGAGAGAGAGAGATGCTACAGGGTCTTGAGGTTGTGAACAAGAATCACCCATGTCAGAAAATAAAAAGGTAGGAAGGTTGAGGATCACAGCCAGGACCCACCCCAGCCTCTGGGCTGTGCACACCCAGAGCCCTGATGACAGTGTGTGGTTTATGTGAACTGGTAGTGACTCTGCCGGGGAACCTGAAGATCCCTACCTTGGATTTTCTTCTCTCTTGGTTCTGAGCTGCCAGTCGCCGCTGCATGGTAGAAATAGAAGAAAACAAACAGTGAACTCCAGAAAGGCAGCAAGGAAGACAGACTATGGGTGGAGGAGAAAGGAGGGAAGGGAGACTGGACATGGAGAGACCCTCAGTGCAAGCAAAGGCATTCTGACCACTAGGAAGGACACCTCCTGGCCAGATTGCCGAATTTTTGACATTGTTACTTAGAGTCCCTTTTTCCTCAGAGTAAAACATAGGAGAGGAGACCACCTGTCTGATTGATCATTATGTGATCATCCTGGACCTGCAATGGGATTGGCCAACACATTTGTAAACCAGATCAAAGAATCTGTAGCATTTAAAGCTCAGTTGGCCTTCCTCAAACCAACACTTCTTTGCAATTCACTTTCCTACTTAATCCTGTCTCCCTTCCAATTCTTCCAAATGCTGCAGGCACCTAACCTCTGCCCCCAACCCTTTCAGTGTTCTGACTCTGCAGCTGGAGACTCTTGAGCTTAGACTGGTCTGATAAGATAGTATGAATCTTAGCAAGTCTATGGTGAATAGAATACATGGCTTTGACATTTCCCAGCTATGAGCTATGTCTCCATTCTTCCATGAGACAGGGAATCTGTGTCAAGATGCCAAGAGCATCTCACATACTGCTCCAGGTGGTCTAGCAAGGGGCACTGGGGTCCTATATGCAAATCCAGTAATTAAATATTCTCCTTAGATGATTTTAGTTTTCATTTCTAAAGGCATTTTATGGCATTATTTAAACAAACAAACAAACAAACCCAAAGAAACGATTGGATGAGGGTTCCTCTTTTGATCTCCTGAATCCTTAACTATCAGATTCCTACAGCAGTTTTCCCTGTGTCCTGGAGGTGGAAGGCCAAGGACAGGTCCCTCTGACTCACCTGTAGTTCCAGCTTCTCCTCTTCATCCAGACTTTCGGACTTGATGATGCCATTTTCTGGGGCAGACTCTGGCTCAGGCCGCCCTTCCTCCACTGTGGCTGGGTTCAGTTCTCCTTGCTCAGACATTCTCCCAGATGCAAATTAGAACAGCGATGGATGTTTTAGGCCCTAAAAGGTTCCAGCATCAGAAAACAGCGTCAGGGCAGGGCAAAGTTTCCAACTACTCCTCAGCGCTCTTGTGTCCCCTTACAAATTCACACCCAGAGGTGCAGCCCAGCATCCCTGCCAATGGGACACACTCAGGAGGACAGAGCAAGACAACAGCAAGCCGCCAGCGATGCACACACAGGCGGCAGGTACGTCACCTCAGCCTCAGCCCCCCCCCCCTCCACGCACCATGCAGGGGCAGATGCGTTCACTCTCAAGATGAATCAACTAATCTGGGCTGAGGCCCATCACTTCCACTCAATGGTTAGTCCCCACATTCTGCTACAGAGCAAAAGAGGAAAATGGGGCCAGATCCCCAGTGCTTCAACAGGTGACCCCTAACTTCTGAGTCAAGAGGTCCTACTGATGGAAGGTGCTACCTCAGATGTGACTCAGAAAATTATTTTTAAATTTCAACCATGGAAGCACACCCTTCCCCGAAAGTAACGGGGAATACAGTGTACTGTATTCAGGGACAAATAAGGCGCAAAACTCAGATGCAAAGGTTTATATCAAAACCTGGAATCTCCTTTTAACCACGAACCTTCCAGGGTCAGGACACTCAGGCTTCAAATGAACAAATAACAAAAGTAGCAACAGCAGCGGCAGCCACCCACCTCCTTAAGTTCTGCTGGGTACCCTTGCTGCAGGCAGGCTCGGAGGAACCCCCTACAAGGCAGAACTAAGGATTGCTGGGGCTGCCCCTGCCACTACACACCCAACACTCTGCTCCACAGACAGGAAGTGGCTTTTTAGACTTTAGTTCCATTATTGGGCTTCCCCCCCCCCAAAAAAAAAAATCTCTGGTATTCCTTTCCCTCTGCCATGCTCACAAATCATTTACCGTTTATTTATTCACTGGCTGCCCGATTCTTTTAAGTATGAAAAGAAAATGGAGGGAAGGAAAGAGGGTGAAGGAAAGAAAAAAAAAAAGTAAAAGGGAGAGAAGGAAGGGAAGAGAGAGGAGGGGTTAGGGCAGCTGCAGCTTAGAAAGCCCTTTCATTCACAAACTTCCCCACCATTCACTGTCCCATCTTAGTCATTACAGAGGAGACTGGCACAGGACAGAGTATGCTCCCGTATCTCTGAGCGTGCTGCCGCATTAGCATTTACTAATTTAGTAACTTCATTTCCTGCTGGAAGCAAGAGACAAATGAACACCGTGGCAAATCCCATTGCTAACTCGCTAAAAACCCACCCTGACAGAGCAGATGGCTTGTAACGAAAAAATTTCAAGTCCATGGACCTATTTGGCAGAGGATTGTGGGATTGTAGAAAGAAAAGTTTCTGTAAAGGAGGCAGAGGTTGAGCTGGTTAGCTTGCTGATTTTAAGTCTGGAGAAGTTTTAGGATCTGCCGCCTTTGGGCAAATGTCTTCTATCTCAGTGTCGCCCAGCATGTGTGATTAATAAAACAGTCGTTATAGTTTTCCCATTGATGAACAGCTTGCTTTCTCTGAACAGTGCATTGGGCAGGAGGACAAAGAACTTCGGATGCCCTAAGTCAATTTTCAGAGTGCTTCAGTTAATAAAAAAAGAAAGAAAATTAAACAGAGTGAGGAGACTGAACTCTAATTTCCCAAAGCACAAGCCCAAGGACGCCCCAGACACGCAGGTCCTGACTCTGAGGGTTGCATGAGGTGAACTGGCCTCTGCAGACAGGCACGGTAATGAAAACAGGGAAAAATGGAGGCGGTGCAGCCCCCCCCCCCAAGTGCTTTACCTTCCACACAGAGTCCCAGCTGTAGGTCTGGATGAGTGACTGGAGGCTCCTGTCCTTCTGCACCGGGAGAATCCACACAAGTGATCAGAGGTAACTGCCGTCCCATGTCCCCATTAGCAGTTCAGAGTGCCCATCTCCAGGCAGGTTCCTTACACACTTTGACACATGGTCGACAACCTGAAAGAAGAGCAACAGTAAATCATCATGGCAGCAGCCGGGGGAAGAACACAGCAAGACAGACCGGGTTTCTAACACTAATGACCAGCTTCCAGCAAATCCCTCTCCCAGCTTGCTCCAGCTCCACCTGTCCCAAGCTGCCGGCTTCTTCTCCAATGAAGGCTACAGCCGGCTGTTCAAGTCAGAGCGGCACCCACGCACTGAGCTAAAATTAACAACTGAATTATGCACCGAAGATTACTCACTTCAATTTTAACCTTTTTTAGTGAAATCTCGCACTTTGTATTTAAAATACACACACACACAAGTTTGTGTGTTTGCCTCAATGAGAATCAAAGTCACCTACATGCCAAAGGTTTGTCTTTTCTTTTATTTCTAAATGGAAGCCTTTGTCTGAATTATAGGTGGATGCGGTGTGCTTTAACTCTGACTATGAGTCTGCTGTGAGAGGTCTCTTCGTGCAGTGTATGCACAGGGTTCGCCTTCATGAGGCCTTGTCTATAAAGTTTAAAAGAAAGAGGAGAAAGCAGAAAACTTTCACGCTGGCACAGCTCAGAGAGCACTTCATTCCACTGACAGTTTGCAAAGCACCCCTAAGATCCCCCCTTCATGGTGAACAACCTCTCCATTTCCCTCCCTCCCCACCAGGACAGCTCTGCCAGCCTAGCATTCCCTGTGATGAGCAAAGAATCGCTGTTGCAGCAGCAAGCAACAGATTGGCACACCCCGAGCCCCTTGCAAACAATCCACACTTTTCTTTTCTCGATACTCCTACAGGAGCAGCCACACAGACAGCTTGAATGCAAACAGAGAGCCCGGGCTTCTGACAGCATTTGCCAAAAGCAAACCTCAGCCCAAACTCAGCCTCCTGGTAGGGGGCACACCTGCTGACTTCAGCAAGGGCAGGCATACCTCTTGGGTCCTATAGCCTCTGAAAACATGAGCTGCATCCAACTACTGTACTGAAGGCTAGAGAAACCCTTTCTCCTTGCCATCTCCTCCCCACTAGCTTAGATGAGCATGCCTGGTTCCTTTCTGATTTGGTAGTGGCGCTGCTAATAGCATATTGGGTTACAAAGCCATTTGTTGTGCAGTGGGGGAACAACTGTTGAACATACTACCAAGTGTCGCATCCATAATTTCTGATTTATTCATCTTTTATACCAATGGACAACTTGGTTTTAAAAATATACACCTTTTTAAAGAAACCACATAACTATTGGGATAGGCAAGCATAATCCCCCCACAAAATGGGTCACTAATTGAGGGTCATTGTTTTATTCTTCTATTCTGACCTCTTGTACCATGGCTACTTCGACAGATGCCCAATTTTAATTAAATTTAAAAAAAAACCCTAAGAAAAGACCAATTAGCTTGCAAGCCCATTGTGTAGAATAAACACCTTGTTAGACAAAGTTACCAAGTGCTTTTTTTGTGTGTTGTTTTCCTTTTCTCAAAATGGATGAAGTTATTGTGAATTATCCCAAGCCTCTGCCTCATTTTCCTGCCCTCCCAGATGCACAGGGGCATTCAATCCAGCAGGCAAATGATGATGGAGTTTCAAAGCCAAGCCTCAATACCCATCCTGGCTTCAGTAGGAGGAGGCAAGATTTAATTTTTTGCAAGAAGACAGGACAAGCTCATGCTCACATAACCACCCAAGCACTAACAGCCTGGTTCTGTGTGTGTGTGTGTGTGTGTGTGTGTGTGTGTGTGTGTGTGCGTAATTTCCAGGACGTGTTTTGAAATAGAACTGAACTCTAAAGTCAGCGAGGTATTATTCTTACACGGCTGAATCATGAAGTCATCATCTCCCAAGATAAAAGAGAATATGGGCATATGGGAGTGAGCAGAGTGGAGCATATGGATCGCAAATATTTCTGTAGCTGATTAAAATTGTTCTCTTTGCTGAGAAAGCCATGCCAGGAATCCAGCCCTACTCCAGCTCTCTGCTAGCCAAACCAACCCCACTCGTGCACTGCCATTTCATGCAGATCGGGTCCAAGTCCTCTCCTTTTTATCAAGAACCAAAATTATATTTAACTAATATATTTTTCTTGGCAAAATTTTCTTAATGAATTTTGTTATCAAATTTTTAATTTACATAATAAAAGAACAGAAAGGGTTTAGTTATATAATATATGTGGTATATAGAATACACAAAAGACAAGTTACTGGACTTCTTTTATTGCCGTTAATGTTAATACTCTACCTTTAATAACTTCTGTCTCAGTGTGGACATGTATGTGCCCATAGCACCCAAGTGGCAGTCAGAGGACAACTTGTTGGCGTTGATTCCCTCCTTCCACTATGCGTGAGCTGGGGACTGAACTCAGGCTTGCCAGCATTGCCACAAGCACTTTTGCTGAGTCATCTCAGAGCCCCAGAAATACTATTTTCGTCGTGAGTTTGCAAGTATCTCTTAACAGAACCCACCGTTGTAATGAATCCATAGAAATCTGACGCATGCTCTCAATTATTTTACAAGTAAAATGATGATCATTTCATATTACCTCAGTGCTGCTTCTTTATATCTTAAGCTTGCTTTAGAATAAAAAAAAACTATAGCATTTGGTATTCATAGGGGGAGAAAAGGGAGGTGGAGAAGAGACTAAAATAACGCAAAGCATATGTATGTCTTGTATCTTATCCCCAACAAATTGTATGTGCCCTGTTGTGTGTGTCTATGTGTTACATATCCCAATCACTGCAGAACCATGCAGAATTTGAATCTGTTTTCAGTAGGTTCTTCTTCCTTCTCAGGCTCTATCCAAATGGGAAATTGAAATAGAAGTCTATCCACAAGTTGAGATGCTCACTTCATTAGTCACTCCTTCCCAATATGTGAAAAATTAACACAGAGATGACTAACCCAATGCTAAATTAGTTAAGTGTTTTATGACAAGACAACACGGTCAAGTGACACAAATGGTCCCTCCCACAGGCTCTGTTTTTCAGTAGGTCCCAGATCTGCAAATGAAAATTATTTGCATGTTGAAGTGACAGTAGTGATTTGTTGGTTTCCTATGTAAGGTAGAAATATGGACAAACTAAAATATGATCCAGTCTCCAAGGCTCACTTCGTTAAAGCTTATAATAGATTTTTGACATTTCAGATTAAGTTGAAAGAAGGTTAAATTTGGAATGAAAGACTTTCAAAAATGAAGGTAGCTATATTGTAAGCCGTATATATATCAGTATTTTGACAAAGTCTGGAACCTTCTCAAAGCTGAACAAAGGGCAGTTGTCCCTACAAATTTAACAATTATCCCATGAATTTAACTTTCCAAAGATAGATCTAACTTTTAATATATATGTGTGAGAAGCACTTGACCCTTTGGTTAAATACTTTTTTGTTTGTTTTGTTCTTTGTTTGTTTGTTTGTTTTGGTGGTTTAAATTTTTGTTGTTAACCCAAAACACGACAAATATTTAAACATGATTAAGCTTGCATGCAGATGAGAAAATTGACAAAACATTTTGGAAAGTAAAATTAGGAGAATACCTCTACATCTAGGAAAAGAAGTGTTCCCATCAGAATTCTAGGAAATTGAAATGCCCTACAAATAACCATTTTGCAAGGATTTATTTTCTTTTATTACATGAATCTATTTTTTATTAAGTCTTTTCATACAATGTCTTATGTATAGATCTGTGTCTAAGTGTGGGTATGTTCACCTAACAGAGAAAGGAGTGGATGCCAAAGCTTTGGGGACTAAAATATAACCCCATGAGCACATGGTGTCTTAAAAAAATATTGAGGAAGATCTGTTGTCAATGAAAGCGTCTTCACATAAAACAAGCCTTTACCAAGCGTCTGTTCTGTCCAGAGATAATCTTAAACAGGACTTGACATTCAGGTCAAATAATGCAGTTTCCCTTGGAAACTTTATTTTGTTGCTTTTTGGATATGATATAGATAAACAATAAGCAAATTACATCCCAAAAGATCAAAGGCAGAAAAGGTAAGCAAAAGACAGAAAACTGGCATCCTGCCTTTCAAAGCTCCCTCAGGCACCTGAGTGACAAACGTGTACAAAACAGTTCTGTGATCTAATCTGCTTTCATTCATACTTGTAAGTTTTATCATCCTCATTACCTTAGCCATCTTGTTCCTGTGCTACACTAGTGAGTTTTTTTTTTTTTTTTCTCCTTTTTTTTTTCTGCTTGACACAGACTAGAGTCATCTGGGAAGTGAGGATGTCGACTGTGGAATTGTCTTCTTCAGATTGGCATATAGACAAGTCTTTCTTGATGAATAATTGGCCCAGCCCACTGTAGGCAGTGTCACTCTCAGACGGGTGGCCCTGAAGTGCATAAGAAAGCAAATGGAGCAAGCCATCAAGACTTAGCAGTGAGCAGTGTCCCCATGACCTCACTTCAGTTCCTGCCTCCAGATTCCTAACTTGAACATCTGTCCTGCCATCTCTTTATGACAGACTCTTACCTGAAAGCTCAAATAAACTTTAATAAACCCTTTCCTTCCCAGCTTGCTTTTGGCTAGTTTATCACTGCAATAGAAAGCCAGATAGAGTATGATCTTATCCCTCCGGGGCACCAACCACTACTTCTGAAAAAAAGAAAAAAAAAAAAAAAAAAAGACAAGACTGCTCTGCAATTCCTTTCTCCTCCAGATTCAAGGAGTCTTGGTGCAGTGTCAGGCAAACAGAGCTGGGTGGGTGAAGAAACTGATTGGCAGCGTTCTTACATCAATGATCCAAATTTTCTTTTTTGCATAGTTTTCATTTTAATTGCAGGTGAAGAGGGTTATCAGATCCAAATTATTGAAACAAAACTGGAATCAATGGTCCTGTTACTAAGACTCTGACAGCATTGAAGCTTGGTTCTGTTTGACCAACAGATCATTGTCTAGTTCAAACATTTTTCCAAAGGCCTCAACTTCCACAATAGTTATATTCGGTTTTTGTTTGTCCATGTCTTTGTTTATATGTACATGTCAAATATATGCCATGGCACCTGTGTGGAGGTCAGCGGACAACT